ACTTTCGACCAAATTGCAACTGTGGAAAGTGTACATGCGGTGGAATTAAGGAGATAAACAAATACTATCAGATGGAATACATCATGTCATTCCTTATGGGGTTAAATGAGTCATTCTCCCAAGTTAGAGGCCAGATCCTACTTATAGATCCCATACCACCAATTAATAAAGTTTTTGCACTAATGGTACAGGAAGAGAATCAAAGGAAATTGAGTGCACAATCGGTGGGAAATGATGCAAATGATACTGCTGCATTTGCATTTGCGGTAAAATCTGACTATATGAAGCCAATGATGAACTATGGTTCTCGTTATGATGGAAATAGGACCAGTAATTTTGCAAATGTTAAAAGGAAGGAAAGGCCCCACTGTACTCATTGTAAGTACCATGGACATTCAGTTGATAAATGTTACAAGATCCATGAGTATCCACCAGGATTCAAGTCAAAATCAAGTGATAACTTCCAAAACTATTCTGCAACTAATCCTGTTAATCAGTTGTCAACCGTTCATCAAATGGATCAGCAACCTAGCATGGAGAATTTTATGCAAAACCTCAATTCCAGTCAATATCAACAACTGATGACTGTGCTGTATAGTCACTTAGCTTCAAGTTCAAACACTGCTTCCATTGATCAAGACAAACAGAATAATTTAGAAGCTATAGGTATTTGTCACTCCATATTTGATAATCTTGTCTTTGCTAATAAAGAGACATGGATAGTGGACTCGGGAGCCACTAAACATGTATGTTGTACTGGTGATGCCTTTATGACAATAAGAAAGGTTGATAATGCAAGTATTACTCTGCCAAATCACACACGAATAACAGTCAACCTATGTGGAGATATAAGACTAAGTCCTAAACTGGTGCAGCATGATGTTCTATTCGTGCCACAGTTCAAACTGAATTTGTTATCCATCATTGCATTGACTATTGGTTCACACCTCACATTAAATTTTTCTCCTGATCAATTTCTCATTCAGGAGACTACAACCAAGAGGATGATTGACAAGGGTGATAAAGTGCACGAGTTGTATGTACTTCATACAAGAGATCTTGATTCATTTTTGAATAACTTTGTCGGTAATGTTTCTGCCCATATATGTCATAACAGACTTGGACATCTGTCTTTTAAACTTTTAGATGTATTAAAAGATCAAGTAGCTTGTGATGTTTCGAAGTTGAATAGGCAGCTTCCTTGTTATATCGGTCCTATTGCTAAACAACGAAGACTATCATTTGAGTCAAATAATAAATTGTCCAGCAAGCTGTTTGATCTATTGCATTGTGATGTATGGGGGCCATATCACATTCCTTCACACTCCGGGCACAAATATTTTTTAACATTAGTTGATGATTGCTCCAGATTTACTTGGATATATATGTTGCATCATAAATCTGATGCTGCAAAGGCTATGCATCGTTTCTTCAGTTTGATTACCACACAACTTGGTGCACAGATTAAAAGTTTCAGGTCAGATAATGCACATGAGTTGTCTTTCAAAGAGTTCTTTGCTGAAAAAGGAGTATTGCACCAATTTAGTTGCGTTGAAAGACCTCAACAAAACTTACTTGTGGAACGAAAACATCAGCACCTTCTAAATGTCGCCTGAGCCTTGTTCTTCCAGTCTAGAATCCCTATTAATTTCTGGTCTGAATATGTCTTAACAGCAGCTTATCTCATCAATAGAACCCCTTCCCCTATCTTACACCATAAAACACCTCATGAGATCTTATATGGCAAACCTGCTGATTATTCCAACCTTTGAGTCTTTGGATGTTTAGGTTTTGCATCTACATTCACAACACATAGAAATAAATTCCAACCACGAGCCAAATTGTGTGTGTTCTTAGGGTACCCTTCAGGAGTAAAGGGATACAAACTACTTGATGTCGCATTAAAACAAATTTTTTTTATCTAGAGATGTTGTTTTTCATGAGGAAATATTTCCTTATCATACCATTGTAGAGTCTGATCAATACTAGATCCTTTTCCTGATCTAGTTTTGCCATCTCCTACATTATCTCCTCATCTTTATTTACCCGTCCAACCAAACCAGATTCAATCTAATCCTAATACACAACCTGTTGATCCTAATTGCACTCCTTCTACAAGGATAAATCATCCTAAACAGCTTCATAATTCTGATTCCACTGACCAATCACATTTCATTGAACCATCTAATCATGATATTCGAAAATCCAAAAGATCCACCAGACCCCCAAAATACCTTCATGACTATCACTGTAATCTGATTTCCCAATTTCATCACCATACTCCATCTTCCCCACACCACATTGGTCATTTCATTTCCTATCAAAAGATGTCTAAGCATCACAGACACTTCGCCTTATCTATTTCATCTCAGTTTGAGCCTCAATTCTTCCATCAGGCTGTCAGATTACCTCATTGGCGAGAAGCAATGAAACTTGAATTGGATGCCATGGAAAACAACCTCACTTGGTCTATGTGCCTCTACCTTCTGGGAAGCACTCTGTAGGCTGCAGATGGATTTTTAAGAACAAATATAAATCAGATGGTTCACTTGAAAGGCACAAGGCATGTCTCGTTGCAAAGGTTACACTCAACAAGAGGGATTGTACTACTTTGACACCTTCTCTCCAATGGCCGAAAATGTTACTGTTATAGTTTTACTCACTCTTGCAGCTCAATTTAACTGGCATCTAGTCCAGTTAGATGTAAATAATGCCTTTTTAAATGGTGATTTGTTTGAGGAAGTATACATGGATCTGTCACTTGGGTATGACTTACTAGGCCATCCAAACAGGGGGAGAAACTTGTTTGCAAACTACATAAGTCCATCTATGGACTTAAACAAGCCTCTAGACAATGGAATTCAAAGTTTACTCATGCTCTCCTATAACATGGTTTCACCCAATCTAAGGCAGACTACTCCTTATTCACTAAAGGCTCTGAGGATAACTTTGTCGCCTTGTTTGTTTATGCGGATGACATTGTTATCACTGGACCAAATGTTCAGGTTATCGACTCCTTAAAGACATTTGTACACTCTTAATTCAAGCTCAAAGATCTGGGTTGCTTGAAATACTTCTTAGGGATAGAAATTGCTCGGTCATCATCAGGTATTATTATATCACAAAGACAATATACATTGTAGTTACTTGAAGATACCGGTTACCTAGACTGCAAACCAGTTAATAGCCCTATGGAACCAAGGTTAGCTCTTAGCATACATGAGGGTGATTTAATTCCAGATGTCTCTCATTACCGACGGCTAATTGGGAAATTGATATACTTGACACTATCACGACCTGACATCACTTTTGCAGTACATAAATTGAGTCAATACATGTCCCAACCAAGGATGCCACAACTAAAGACAGTTCACCACCTACTGCGATACTTGAAGGGCAATCCTGGACAGGGTATTCTCTTTTCATCACAATTGCATTCTAATCCAATTGTTCCAGTTCGGGCCTTTTCGGATGCTGATTGGGGATCGTGCATTGATACAAGAAAGTCTACCACTAGTTTTTGCATATTTGTTGGCAACTCTATGGTCTCTTAGAAGTCAAAGAAACAGCCAACCATATCTCGATCATCTACTGAAGCAGAATATAGGGCACTTGCCTCCACTGTCAGTGAGATCCTTTGGATCAACCAATTGTTAAAAGACTTTCAGCTTAATGTTTCATCTCCTGCCATCCTATATTGTGACAACCATGCTGCCATTCAGATTGCCACTAACCCGATTTTTCACAAGAGAACGAAACACATTGAAATCGATTGCCACTTCATTCGTGACAAAATCAATGCTGGGATCATTAAACTTCTATTGGTCCGTTCAAAACACCAACTTGCAGACGTCTTCACCAAGCCACTGCATCCATCCAGTCTTACTCCTTTGCTGTCCAAGATGTGTGTAAAAGATATTTACATCACCTCTTGAGAGGGAGTATTAGAAGCAATACCATTTTTATAGTTAGAACACGGTTAGCATGTTAGTTGTGCCAGTTGGATGTTAGTTATACCAGCTGGATTATTAGTTGTGTTGTTGTTACTTTTGGCACCTATTTATATTGTATAAACTCAGTCATTCCATGTGAATTCAGATGAATAATGTTTCAGTATTTTATAGTTCATATTGGCTCTAATAATTATCGAAAATAGGAAATGAGAGTCTTCAAAAGCCAGTAAGGTAGGGTTTTCTTTGTGGTTAAGAGAGGAAAGCGTGTTTTCATTTAGGTGATAAAATTTGTACTATAGCGAAACCAGTTTCATTAACAATGTGTAAAAACTCATATGACAAAAATGAACAGTGATCTTGAATTGCCTCTTCTAAAAGAATGTAGATATAGATATAGATATAGATGTAGATATAAATAGATAGATTCTACTTTTTAAAGTCAAATATTAAGAACAGTTTTTGTAAGATCCATAAATATTGTATATTTATTTATCATTCATTTCTTAATAAAAATTTTAACAAAAGGAAACAATATCCAAACAAGGGTTTAGAACTAATTTTAACTTGGCACATTACTTAAAGTAAAGTATAGGATAATTATATTCACACAATAATTTTTATTTCTTGCATAATATTTTAATTGCACTTAAGGTTGTTAATATTTGTTCATTATAGCACTTACGTCCCTAATGACTTTTTAGATCATTTTTATGTTGAAACTTTTCATTAGTTAATATACTTTGTATTTGATAACAATTTTATGTCCAAAAGTCCGTTGAAAATGGGGTAAAATAACTTATTTTTATCATATTTAAAAATATTTGAAAAAATATTTTTCTCTCGTTTCAAAGGATAAAACAAAATCTTTAGATATAAATTATGGTCAAGGACGAAAAGTACTAATTACTGAAAGATTAAAAATAAGAATTTAATGAAAAAAGTTAAGAAAATAATTAGTGTAATTGAGGAGCTTAACTCCCATTAAAATGTGGTATATAAATAAAAATTGTAATGGTAATATAATCGTACAAAATATTACCCGAACAAAATACCCAAGCTACCCCTTAATATTCGCGCATGTCAAATGAAAATAACCTAGGGTTTCATTTGTTATCCACTCCGTACTCTCTCTACTCTCGATTTGCTTAGCACCTCTTCTTCTCCACAGCTCGCAGAGGTAATTAGCCAAAACCCCTATTTCCCTCCTCTATTAGAGATACAGAGATTTATATTTCTATATTTTCCTTTTTTAGTGATTTTTCTGTTGAAACTACTATCGACGTGTATCTCTCTGTATGTATATATGTGTGGTTTGTGTGTAAACGTCGAAGTTTAATATCGAATCATGTTTGATGATAGATTCATGTCAATGGATATACATATTATGGTTTTGTAGCTTAATTTCTGCGTTTCATAGTTGAATGCTTGGAAAATTAGGCTTTGGGCTCCTTTTGTAGTTTATTAAGGATTTAAAGCAATTTCGGTTTCTTAGATTTTGCATCAAAGTTTAATCTGTTGGATTTGTTTTCTTTTGAAAGCTCTCTTCTTGTATTTGTTCTGGGTAATTGGGTATTTTTGTCCTTGTGAGAAAAAATATAACCCTTTCTACCCTCTTATTATTTAGAAAAATTTTGAAGCATTATAATGTTGATCGTGACTGTGTTTATTAAAAAGAATTTGTTCGCTTTGGAACATATTCTGTTAATGTTGTAATTATCTTCTCTGTCTTCCATTTATAAAGAGAAGGTTTTGGTACATGTTATACTTTGCAACAGGCATGTTAACTCCCAGTTAGTTGTGTTTGGAGTTTTTATTGATTTTTTCATTTAATTTTCTTTATGTATTGTATATGATGAGGACGAAAATGTATGTTTTATTGTGGTTAGATGAGGTCCATGGGAGAAGAATTTTTGTGCTGTAATGGTACTTAAGCTCTTTCTGAAATTTAGTTTTCCCTTTTCAAATTTTGCACCAAAAGAAGTTTTTCTTATTGCAAAAAGAACTTTATTCATCAACTCCCTATATTGTTTTATGACAGATGAATGTGGAAAAGCTAATGAAGATGGCCGGTTCTGTTCGAACCGGGGGGAAGGGTACCATGAGAAGGTTGTATCTTTTTTATATTTGAGATACTGATTTTCCTTTAAATTTTTACTGAACAAATACAACAATACAACTTCTGTTAAGGAAGTTATACAATTCCATAATCTAATAAATTAATTGCTGCATTGGCATTATAGAGGATTAGTTATTGGTTTCTTATTAAGCTCAAACAGAGTAGACTCTTTTTTAGAGTGTTATTAAATATATATTCTCAATTGCAGAAAGAAGAAGGCTGTTCATAAGACAACCACGACAGATGATAAAAGACTTCAAAGCACCCTGAAAAGAATAGGGGTGAATGCTATACCAGCAATTGAGGAGGTCAATATTTTCAAGGAGGATGTGGTAATCCAGTTTACTAACCCTAAAGGTAATCCATGATTTAGACAATCTGTATTTGGTTCAACTTGTCTTATTTTGGACTACCCACCCTCTATTGACTGTTGTAATCTTTTGTTACCCAGTTCAAGCATCTATTGCTGCCAACACTTGGGTTGTTAGTGGCTCTCCTCAAACCAAGAGTACGTTCTCTTTTTCCTTCTCTTCTTGAAAACGTAGTTCTTGTTTTTAGTTGCTTGACAGTCATTGAAATATAGGGGAATATTTGAGTTGAGCTGAATCACACACTAATCTTTCTTATTTTACTTCTGTGGAATGTAAGCCCCTTGTTTGACCCCTGTTAAAATATGAGTTAGCTTGGACTGGACCATGGTCTGGTTCAATGGTTTCCGGTTTGAACCGGCCGGTTCGGTCCGGGTTTAATAACTATGACAACGATACTTCTTGTAGATTTAGATGAGCCGTCACCTTTTGAGAAATATTCACATTGACAATTGTTAAAAAAATCTGAAAATGTTACAAAATTGATTATTATCTAGTTCAAGACACAAGCTGTAACCATATTTTGATGTGGGTCAACCCATAGATTTTGATGGAAAATAAATAAGCAGATTGGTCTCAAATACCCTTTTTTTTTCTTTTGGGGAATTTAAGTTACTAATAGGACTTCCTGCTTAGTTTTTTTAGCTTGTAAAGATGTGGGAAAGTATGATTTTATTGTTTCTGTTGTACTGTTACTTCTATCTCTGAAATTTGAACTGAGGCATTATATTTGATTCTGTTGCAGAATTGCAAGATGTTCTTCCTCAAATCATTCACCAATTAGGTTTGTGTTTGGTTTTCTTTTCTTCTAATAATTGTTTTGTTGGACTCATTTTAACAACTTGATTGTCTAAAGGTTTCTCCTGAATAACTCAGGTCCAGATAACTTGGAGAATTTGAAGAAATTGGCAGAGCAGTTCCAGAAGCAGGTCCCTGGTTCATCTGCTGATACTGCTGGAGCTCAGGAACATGATGATGATGATGTACCCGAACTTGTTGCTGGCGAGACCTTTGAGGCTGCTGCAGAGGAGGGTCACGGTCACAGTCACGATGATCACGATCACAGTCACGATCACGATCACGATCACGATCACGATCACGATCACGATCACGATCACGATCACGGTCATGATCATGGTCATGCTTCTTAAGTGCTCAATATCGATCTTGCGTGCAATTCCTTGTATTTTTCTTGATGTTTTTGAGATGTTTATTATGAAAATACTCAAAAGTTCCGTTACATCTACATTTTAAGTAACGTAGCCCTTCAGATCATTATCTGTCATATATGAATTGTAATGACTGGGGGCAATCCTCCTATCTTTGGACTTTTACCAGAAAGTGTTTTTTGTTATTGCTATGAGTTCGGATTTCATTACCAAAAGTTGTCTATTTTATTTGAGAATGGGCAAGCCAGCCCTCGTCTGCAATATCTCATGCAATTTTTGTTATTGCTATCTGTTCGGATTTGTCAGGAACATGTAGTTCGTCTATCTAGTGTTTCCTCTGCTACGTTAACGCCAATGGTCGAGAATCTGAGATAGAAAGAAAGATTGGTTTGGTCGGTGGGTTTAGCCCTTCTATCACGACGAGGCCAATGGTACGAAAGGTAAACCGCTAAAACGATGCAGTACTATACGTTCCTTTACTGATGCTATATTTTCATATTTTCTGCCCATGTATGAACTGTTTTCTTAACACTGACCAACGATATGGTATAGATAATGATAACAACGGGAAAAAGATGAATAGAGAGGGATTCACGTGACTCGTGTTTTTTGCACTGTACCATATAAGATAAGGATAATTTTATCTTATTTGGGATTTGGAGAAAAAATGAAAAATATAGCTGTTGTTATAAAATTAAAGGGTAGAGAGAAAAATAAGAGAAGAAATAAAAAGTTCAAATTCAATTGTATATTATTATGAACCAATGTCCTATATTTAAAGGGTTCAAAATAAGCGTTACAATTGGAATAAAATAAATTTTCTAAACTATAGATAAGATTTATCCTTCTATCATGATAATACTAAATAATCATTAATAATTATCTCATTATTTTACAACATTCCCTCTTTGATGATTATTTGTACAATAACTGCCTTGTTAAAATATTGTTCGATAAAAATCCAATGGGAAAAAAATCAAACAAAGGAAAAAGAGTGCAGTGATTTAAGAGTACTAAAAATAAATGCTGTCTCATTAAAATCTTGCAAGGAAAATCCAATGGGGCAAAACCTAAGCTAAGGAAAAAGAGTACAACTACTTTCCCTAATGTTGATCACAGAAAATCTTTGAGTCGACGCATTCCAATCTCATGAACTAATTTCTTGAATGTAGATGTTGATAGTGCTTTTGTGAATAAATCAGCCACATTGTCACTTGAGCGAATTTGTTGGATATCGATATCGTCATTCTTTTGAAACTCATGTGTATAAAAGAATTTTGGAGAAATATTTTTCGTCCTATCACCTTTGATATAGCCTCCTCTGAGTTTTGCAATATAAGCTACATTGTTTTCATATAAAATTGTTAAGCTATCCTTTGTTGAAATTAATCCGCATGATACTTAGATATGATGGGTCATGTTTCTCAACCATACACATTCTCAGTCTGTTTTATGAATTTCAATAATTTCAGAATGATTTGAAAATGTAGTCATCAATAATTGCTTCACAGATCTCCATGATATAGTCGTTCCTCCACGTGTAAACACATAACCTGTTTGTGATTTAATTTTATGTGGGTCAGATAGATAACCTGCATCTACATATCCCACTAAAGCAGATTCCAACTTTTGAGAATAAAATAATTTCAAATCAATAGTACCTTTTAGGTAACGAAAAATATGTTTAACACCATTCCAATGTTTTTGAGTTGGTGTAAAGCTATATTTTGTAAGGAGATTTTCAGAAAAAACTACGTCGAGTCGAGTGCAATTTACAAGATAAGTTAATACTCCAATTGCACTAAGATATGGTATTTCATGACCAAGAACTTTTTCTCCATTTTCAAGTGGATGAAATGGATCTTTTTTCACATAAAGTAATCGAACAACCATAGGTGATATCAATGGATGTGCATTATCTATGTAAAAACGTTTTAAAACTTTTTTTGTAAACGTAGATTGGTGAACAAATAATCCATTTGCGAAATGTTTAATTTGCAATCCAAGACAAAATTTGATTTTTCCCAAATCCTTCATCTCAAATTGATTTTTCAAATAATCATCAGTTTTGTTAAGTTCTTCAGGAGTTTCAATTAAATTTAAATCATCAACATAAACTGCCACAGTTGCAAATTCACTATTTGTTTTCTTTATGAAAACATATGGGTAGATATCGTCATTTTTATAACCCCATATAACAAATATTCGCTAAGGCAATTATACCACATACGTCAGGATTGTTTTAATTTATATAATGATCTTTGCAATTTAATTGAGAACATAGTTCTCGGGCATGTATCGTTTGTTCCTGGTATCTTAAGTCCTTCGGGGACTTTCATATATATGTCAATATCAAATGAACCATACTAATATGCAGTTACTACATTCATAAGGAACATATCAAGCTTTTGCGATACAGTCAAACTAATTAAGAACTAAAAGTGATGGTGTCCATTACGGGAAAATATGTTTCCTCATAATCAATTCCTGGTCTTTAAGAGAAACCTTAAGTTACTAGTAGGGATTTGTACCTTGTGATTTCATTATTTTCATTTCTCTTTCGTACAAAGACTCATTTGTATCCAATAGGAATTATATTTTCAAGTGTTCGAACCATAGGTCTAAACACTTTTCATTTCACCAAAGAATTCAATTTTGCCTGTATGACTTCTTTCCATTTTGGCTAATCATTTCTATTTTAACATTTTTTAACCGACTGTGGTTCAGGATCCTCATTCTGTATAATATCAAGAGCCACATTAAAAGCGAAAATATTGTCTATAACAACATTATTTCGTTCCCATAATTTATGAGATAGCATATAATTTATTGAAATCTCATTATTTTCGGACATTTGTGGTTGTTCAGAAACTGTATTTTCAATATCAGATTGATCAATCTTTTCTAATGTAAGTTCTTCCAAAATTTTTGGTTGGTTTTTCTCATGTACTTTTCTTTTTTGAGGTACAGAGTCTTTTGAACCAACTAGTCGATCCCGCTTCTGGAGTATTTGAGATTCATTTGCTACAGCAGATTGTCCTACAGGGACATCAATTTTTGTTGGAATATTTTTTGTTGGAACATATGACTTTATCACTTTTCTTGTGTCAACAAATATATCAAGTAATTGATTTGCAACTCTTTGCAAATGAATGATTTTTTCAACCTCTTGCTCACATTGATTGCTACATGGATCAGAATGAGATAGAGTTGTTTCATTCCAAGAAATATTATCTTGTTTTTTAGGATGTAATTTTTTTCCTCCCAAAGTTGGAAAAGTCATTTAATCAAAATGACAATCTGCAAAACGTGTAGTAAATAAATCATCCGTTAAAGGTTCAAGATACGTAATAATTGATGGTGAATCAAAACCTACATAAATTCCAAAATTTCGTCGGGAACCCATTTTAGTACGTTGTGGGGGGGGGAGGGTGAAATAGGAACTTAGACAGCACAATCAAAGACCCATGGGTGAGAAATATCAGGTTCATAATCAAATGTCAGTTGCAAAGGTGAATATTGATAATAGGCAGTTGGTCTAATACGAACCAATAATGCAGCATGTAGTATGACATGACCCCAAACAGAAGTTGGGAGTTTTGTTTTGATAAGTAATGGTTTAGAAATAAGTTGTAGACGTTTAATAAACGACTCTATCAAACCATTTTGTGTATATGCGCAACTGAATGTTCAATTACAATACCGATTGACGTACAATAATCATTGAATACGTGTGATCTAAATTCACTAGCATTGTCAAGGCGAATAGTTTAATTGAATAATGGGGAAATTGTACTCGTAATTTTATAATTTGAGCAAGTAGTCTAGCAAAGGCTACATTCCTAATGGAAAGTAGGCAAACATGTGATCATCTAGTGAAAGAATCAATTGATACAATAAAATAACGAAATGGTCCACGTGGTAGGTGTATTGACCCACATATATCTCCATGAATTCTTTTCAAGAAAGTTGAAGATTCAATATTGACCTTTGTAATTGAAGGTCTAATGACTAACTTACCTCGCGAACAAGTTGCACATGGATAATCATTAGGTAAAAGAATTTTCTCGTTTCTTAAAGGATTTCTTGCACATGGATAATCATTAGGTAAAGGAATTTTCTCATTTTTTAAAGGATTTTCATGTGAATTGTTTATTATTCGACGCATCATTATACCTCCTGGATGTCCAAGTCGATCATACCAAAATATAAAATTTTTTTGTTCAACGAACTTCTGGTTCGTGAAATTATTTGATTCAACCATTTTTTTAAATGTATAATACATACTAGATGGGAGTGCATAAAATTTTTCTTTTATGTGCTTTTGACCAGATACAAAAGAAGTTATATAAAAATATTCGATATTATTTTCTTATGTTGTCTCAATATGATATCCATTGCAATTGATATCTTTAAAACTAAGCAAATTTCTTCTGGATTTGATAGAATAAAGTGCATCGTTAATATATAATTTTATATTATTTGGTAAAATAATCTAAGCTCTTCCGGAGCCTTCAACGATATTCGATGCACCTGGTATTGTATTGACATTATTCTCTTTTAATGTTAAGTCCAAAATTTCTTTGTCTTGAAGAATAGTATGTGTAGTTGCACTATCAATCGAGCAGGTGTCTTGACAATCCATCATGAATTTATCAATATAACAAAATAGATATATTTTTAAAAAAACTTGAATTTAAATTCAAAATAATAAACATAATTAATACTGTGAAATTAACGATAAATAATAAAGTTCAAAATTTTTGTAAAAAGTAAAAATATATTTCAAACTAAATTTCTAAAATAAAGGGAAACACTAAATAAAAATAAAAATAAAAAAAATTATTTATATTTTTCATCACACCACCCCCAATCAAATGGTCAATATTTTCATTTGGATTAGCAAAAAAATCGGAGACATTCAAATGAGTCGCATCAATTGGACCATCATAGTCAACAAATTTTGTCTCCACTTTTCCCTTTCCTTTAATTGATTTTTGGTAGAGATTCACAAGGTGTTTTGTCGTACGACAGGTACATGTCCAATGCCCTTTCATTCTACATTTGAAACAACTTTCTTCATGTACTTTTTTAGGTGTACTACTTTCGTTTACTTTGTACCTTTTGAAATTGTTGCTTTATTGTTGATAAATTTGTTGATTATTTCGTCCATGGTTTACTACGCGTGCATGTTCGCGTCCAAATC